CAGGTAGTCACCAGCCAGCCAAACATGGAGGAAACAGGAAAGTAGGGCAAATGGAAGGAAAGAAAGGTAAAAAGCCCTGAGGCAAAATGAAGAGAAACAGGTTAAAATAAGTTATAAGAGCTGGTGGGACAAGCCTAAACTAAGGCCAAGCATTCATAACTAATAATAAGTCTTTGTGTCATGATTTGGGGGCTGGCAGTCCAAGAAAGCCTGCTACACACAGGGGTTATCCTGTCAAGTCAAGAAACTGCCAATACCTAGAAGACAATTCCAAAACACATCTTTCTCTAGTGCCTTCCAAGGGCACCTATCCTTGACAATACCTGGAACTTCGACTTATATCCTCTAGAAGTATGATACAACAAATTCCACAAAGCCATACAGATTTCAGGGGCCTTAGAAGGTAGTCCTAGCAAACTAATACTGATGCTTCTTATGAATGCTAGATTTACTTTTCATTTTTAGTAGTTACAATATATCAAAATTCAAGGTCTAATCATATGGTATGTATTGGTTTGTAATCTTAATTATAGTGTTTATTTATATTATATTATTATGTGCAATTTTATATTGCATTTGAGGCACTCTATCTTAATTTTTTCTGTACAAGTATCATAGGACAAAAAATTATCAAAATAGTATTAAAATATGTCTACCTTTAGTGGACATAAATTTTGAATTTATATTCAAATAACCTCACCCTTCCCTTACACAAAACAAAAAAGGTAAACTCTAACCTCAGCCCTTCAAGACTATTGTCTAAGAAACCTTTTCACTTCTAGTGGTTTCTTTAGAAATGTACAAAATACAGACTTAGCAAATGAGACATAAGAATTCTCAGGGGTTTCTGAGGAAAGTTTTCTTGTTCTCAAAAAAGGGACATGAAAGAGAAAGTCCCTTCTTCTGCCTTCCCTCTTGCAGCTTATGCCATTTGGACCACATGACAGTGAGACTTTTTAGAAAAATCAATCACTCAGATGGAAAAGTAGAAATGAGCAGCTGGGCTCCCGGTAAAGTTGTGGTGCTGTACTGAGGATCAAGTCTCTGGAATTCTTCCGTGTAATGACAGATTTTCTTATTGAATGAAAAGTAAAAAATAAAAAGGAAAGGAAAGGACATGACTGCTCCTAGTAGAAAGTTTATTGTAGATAAAAGGGAGAGCATAGGTAGAGGCAGGGACAGGGACATCTGGACATGGACATGGACAGGACATGACCAGACTGAGTTGGGCCATGTAGGAGGAGAGGGGAACCAGGTGCAGCAGCCAGGAAGCCAAAGGTCCTAAACGGGGATAGGTAAGCAAGATATCTGGATTATATAGGGAAGAGCCTCTTGGAGAAGGGCAGTTCAACCCCTGGGCTGGAAAGTTCAGGGTAGGGGGTCTTGGTATGCCAGCCATACCCTGTAACAGGTAGGGTCTGAGGGAGGCTGGGAGAACCTGGCAGCCAGAACTGCTTTGATATGTTAAATAGGCACCTCAACTGTTTGTCCCAGGTTTGATACTTAACACTTACCTTTTAAATTATTTTGGTTCAGGGGCTTTGGATTTTGTTGTCCAAAGCAGCTGAACTAGTAGGTAGCTATTCTTTCCTGATAAACCCCTTTTAAAATTGGATGAATCTTCTTGCTAATATCAGAGCTCTCCAAGAGTTATTTTGAATTATTCTGCTTTTATAAATATTTTAAAATTTTATATAACTTCAAACATCACCAATTAATGTAGTTTGTGTGCAGCCAGTGGGTTACAGGAGCAGTGAGATACCAGACCTTAGAGTGGCAGGTAATCCCACAATGGCTATTGTTTTTTTTTGTTAGGAAGCAGCATCTTTCATTTATTCAATATTGTGAAACAAATAATGGTTTTAAATATGTGAAATTTGACATGAATATAAATTACCATTTATGGATATGCACTCTTACGGACTGCAGTCATTGACACTAACTCCCTTGTGTGATGCATGGCACATACTAAAACCCATGACATTTGAATTTTTCAGCTGAAATAAAAATGTTTTCCATTTAAATATACTATTCCAATGTAAAATAAAGAAGAATCAACAATCTAGATTATGATAGATATGGTAATTTTTAAAAATAAAAAAATAGAGTACCTGATCTACTATGGATCAGTCAATCCACACTTCACATTAAGTGAGAGAATGAGAGGTGAGAGTAGGTAGATTATTTACACAAAGTCCTGGGAAAGGCAGAGACTTCTTAACTATGATTGACTGGCCTTAGCTTAGGCTCGTACTACTAGCTCTTTTAACATAATTTTACCTGTTTCTATTCATCTACATTTTGCCCTAGGGCTTTTTACCTTTCTTTTATACTGTATGTCCTACTTTCCTGCTTCCTCTGTGTCTGTCTGTCTGGCCCCTGGAGTATCCTTGGAATCTCTTTTCTTTCTTTCCTTGAGCCTAAAGTCCTCCTCCTACTTACTCTCCCTGTGCAGAAGTATGCCTATACCTCCCTTGCTATTGGCCATTCAGCTGTTTATTAGACCAATTAGGTGCCTTAGGCAGGCAAGGTAAAACAGCAACACATCTTTACATAGTTAAACGAATATTTCACAACACCATTTTGCTATAGATGGTAGAATATTTCTTTTTATTTTTGAGTGATATTCATTGTGGGTGTGAATGTAACAATTCAACCATTGTTGGGTATCTAGTTCAATTCCTTATCTTAGCAAAAAAGCATAGGTGTTAAGATACCTCTTTGAAAAACAGAATTTCCTTTGGATATACATCTAGAAACAGTACAGCCAGATCCTAGCATAGATCTATTTATAGTATTCTGGGGATGCTCTCTATTATTTTCCATAATGGCTGTAATAATTTATGCTCCCATTTTTTGTTTCTTTATAAACAAATGTTAGTTATCCAGGGTGCTAATATTTTTCACTTCAAGCTATTAATATGTATTCTGTGTTATAATTTAAATGTTAAATAGTATGCAGTGATGACTCTGAAAATTGTAAGATGAATGCATTAGATAATGTCACCCTGCCTCCTCTGATAATGAATAGTAACTTTTAATAACCTCAAGTGTTAGACCCTTAAAATAAAAAAGTGAATCTGCCGAAAGAAAACATTAAAGATAGAAACATAATAAACTACAAGAGTAAAAACCTGTAATCATTTTCCCTCAAAAAGACTTTACAAAGTCAAATATAAAACAGTATTTGATAGAACAAAATTTGATATTAGCCCTATAAGGCTAGGCAGGATTCTGAAATATGTTGGTTTTATTTACTGTTTGCCTGCAAAACAAAGTCCTAAGGCTAAATGGTCCTCAGTGCCTTTGCTTGTACTCCTGAATAGTAGAGATTATATGCAAGAGATGTAAAGAGATAGCCCCCTTGTCAAGGCAATCTCTTGGTTCCCTCAAATTTATGAATGCAAATTGTGAAATACTTAACCACAAAGTCTTCAGAGCCAGAAAAAATTAAAACAAAACCCAAGATAATGTGATTCACACTTAAAAGGATGATAGACTGTAGCTTACAGGTGAGGTGAGGTGATTTAACAAGCTGTGGAGTTTTAAATATCTCTGCTACTGAGTGCTCTGGCAACAAAAATAACACCAAAGGGACATAAAATGACCTAATAGGGAGGAGTTTCTTATTTAAGCAATACCAAGGTGAACCTGGCTCATTTCAACAAAATCCATTAATACAAGAGTTCCTATGGTTCGCTTTCTATATTTGGTTCTGAATTACTCTGAGATGGAGACCAGCCTAAGGGCTCAGCCTATCTTTCACACAGTGAAAAGACCAAAGCACTACTGAGATATGATGTGATGAACATTTTCTCTGTATTGACCACATATGAAACCATTAGAGACATTCACTATAAAGACATTCACTGGAAAGGTTTCAGTATGGGCAGTAAATTAGAACTCTAAACATTATATTGTAGTTACTTAAAATTGCTGTGGGATGTTCTGCATGACAAATGTGTTGCTGATTGGTCAATAAATAAATCACTGATTGGCCTGTGGCTAGGCAGGAAGTATAGGCGGGACAAGGAGGAGAATAAAGCTCGGAAGTGGAAGGCTGAGGCAGAGAGACTCTGCCAGCCGCCACGATGAGAAACAGCATGTGAAGATGCCGGTAAGCCATAAGCCATGTGGCAAAGGTATAGATTTATAGAAATGAATTAATTTAAGCTGTAAGAACAGTTAGCAAGAAGCCTGCCATGGCCATACAGTTTGTAACCAATATAAGTCTCTGTGTTTACTTGGTCTGGTCTGAGTGGCTGTGGGACTGGCAGGTGAGAGAGATTTGTCCTGACTGTGGGCCAGGCAGGAAATTAGGAATTAGGAGACATAGCCCTAAAAAAAGCAAAAGGCTGCCCAAGGAATTTGCAATTTTTTTTTGATTTATTTTTTGTTGTTGTTTTGTTTTGTTTTTCGAGACAGGGTTTCTCTGTGTAGTTTTGGTGCCTCTCCTGGATCTCGCGCTGTAGCCCAGGCTAGTCTCGAACTCACAAAGATCCACCTGGCTCTGCCTCAGGAGTGCTGGGATTAAAGGCATGTGCTGATAAACAATTAGCTTTTGACAACTATGAGTGCTCTGAAAAAACCTGCAGGAGAAATCTTTGTAGAGTCTACTGTGCTTGCTGCTGTTTTAGGTGTGTGACCAGAGGATTCTCAGCAGGGGTGACATTTGAGCTAAGAAAACACCAAGCTGCTGAACAGTTTTGCAAGGATCTTTCATAATGGAATGGTTAACAATGCTCAATGAAACTTGGCAACTTCTAGGAGCCTCATGAAGGCCTCAGGGTCCAGCAAAGGACGGGCATGTTGATGTCGCCCCAGAATTAGGTAAGGAGTTTAGGGGTTACTCCAAGTTCAGTTGGTATTCATAGGACGTTGTAAATCAGGAGTGGGGAGTAGGGAGTATTGACGTCTTAAAAATATTGTACTTTGGTTTTATTTCTTAGAACGTAATTCGAATTTCCTTATGGGTTGAACAACATCACTGCCTCCTCTCTTTTGCCCAGGATATTTGTGCAAGCCCAGGTTTGTTTGCACCAGACGCCAGGGGTTGACAGCCTGGGAGGAGTGTGTGACAGTTGGCTAGCGCTGTGAGGCCCAGGCCAAGCCAAGTCGCCTCAGGGGCCGAGGCTATGCGCTGGGGGAGGGGCGGGGCGGCGGAGCAGAGGAGCTGTGACTGCTACTGCTGGGAGGGATAGAGGCCTCACCTCGGGGTGCTGGTGCCCCGCAGTCGGAGAGGGAAGAGCAAACACCCTTGAGAGCCTTCTCGGGGGCTCTTGGGTCGCACAGTCTCTAGGGGTCTCCTAGGCTGGTGGGGGCTGCCCCGATTTGTCACCGGAAACAATGGGGATTCCGGGCCCGAGGCAATGGCGCAAGTCCTGGGGGAAGGGGAAATTTAGCTTCCTCTGGTTTAGCCCTCCGGGGCCAAGCCGCGAGCCCTGGTGGCTGTGAGCAAGGGACTTGCAAGTGTCGAGTTAGGACGGGACTAGGCTGGCGGGCCTCTGTCTACAATCTCTTCGCGGACGGTCCGTTCTCCTGTATCCCGGCCGGTTTTTGTGATCTGCTCTCATCTCTAGGCCAGGCCCTAAGCAAAGAGCAAAGAACTGGCCAGGGCCCCTCCCTCCCGGGCCCCTCCCTCCCTCGGATCTGGGGTTTTGTAGCAGCAGCAGCAGCAGCAGCAGCAGCAGCAGCAGCAGCAGCAGCAGCAGCAGCAGCAGCAAGGCGCTCAGGTTCTGGAAGAGAGTCTTGTCGACAAGCGCCGCAGGGCTCGCTCCAGGGGTGAGGAAGAGCTCTGTCCTGGGGTCTAGCTCACCACAGAGACCGACGATCCCTGGCCCTGCCCTGCTTTCAGATCGCGAATTTAGCGACAGCCCCTTCGCTACCCACCGGCCGCGTTTCCGGGCTCAGTGCTGGGGTTGCGGCACCCGGAACACAGACGAACGCAGTATGTGCACTAGTTGTTGGAACCGGGGTACAGCTCTGCGGCACTGAGAGCTCGGCGGCCCCAAGTATGCCGCTGGGGGCGGGGCTTGCAGAGGCCCCGCCCCAGCCCTGCACGGCCCTCCCCCGCCTCTTGGCCGAGTAGGCCAGGGGTTGAGCTGCGCTCTGAGTCCACGCCTCAGCGGGTCTCTTTGCAGCAGTTGCGAAAACCCGGAACGAAGGTGTTGTTGCCGTTCGGCAGAGCGGCGCCGCCCCTCGCCGCACCTCCCCGCCAGTCCTCGGAGGCCTCGCTGGGCATGCTCAGTCCGCAGGGCCGCTTCAGCTCTCGTAGTAGGAAGCTTGGGGCGCTTGGCTTGTGAGGACCCACGGCGTTGCGAAGATGGAGCCCTTTACCAATGGTGAGTGGCTAGCCTGAGACTCGGATTCCTGGGCTTTCAGGGTCCAGAGGGTCAATTGTGGCACGGGGATCGGGCTGCTGGGTGTCCCCGCCCCAGGGGTTTCCCAGGAGAGCTGGGGGCGGCAGAGGGGCCAGGGCCGGCTTAGGGCGGGCGTGAAGGTCAGCCCGCTCCCGGGGGCTAGCACCGAGCCGCCAGGTGAGGCAGTGGCAAAGTTTGGGATGTTTGTGCGGAGGAGGGGGCGGCGGCAAAGTTGGCAACCGCAGTTTGTCCCCGGAGAGGCGGCCACTGCCCGGAGAAGCGGCGCCCGGGAGGAAGCCAACTCGCGATGGGAGCCTGGAGCTGTCCGCCCGTCCTTCAGCTAGCTGCTCTCACTCCTTTCTGTAATAGGGCGGGGTAGGGCCGCGGGCCTGGCAGCGAGATTTAGTGCACCGCAGGGAAGGAAACTTACCGGAGGCTGGCTGGTACTGCTCGGTGCGGCCAAGGTGCCGCCCCGTATGGCCACCTTTCTCTCTGCTGCTGCTGAAGCACTCCGTCGGACGACCAAGCTTTTTACCAGCTGGGGATATTGGTCTCCTAGTCGGAGATCCATTGAATATTAGTGCTTATATCATTAGGTGACGGGGTGAAAGTCAAAGCAGCCTATGTCCAGAAAACAGCCACAGACTTTTACTCCACAGCTTTGTCTGGTCCAGAAGTGCTGGAGTCACAATATAGGTGTGAGATGCCCCACCATTTTATGATGTTAAATATGTGAATTCACTATTAGGATGTAAAGTAGGAAAACTTAATAAACGATAGGACATACTGAAATTAGAGGATCCACTTTGCAGTTGTCATGTATTTCCAGTGTGGTTGGTTACTTCGGGTAGGTGGAAAATCAAATTAATAGGAGAGAAGCGTATGACTATTTGGGTGGGTTTCTTACCACTTAAGGGACTGGGGGGACGTTGCCCACTGTGTCCACTCTCCTGCCCGACTTTGTTGTGTACTTCATTCCTGGGTCTGTGACCTACACATGTTCTCCGTTTCCCTAATTCAGAATGTTTTATTTTACTGCCATCTTTCTGTCTGCAATGTTTACTTAGGTTTAGTAATGACAGCTTTAACTCTGAATTTTCTTTCTCATTTGTGTTCTATTTGTAATTACCAAGGCTCCAAGAATAGTATGATAAAATTACCGAGAGAATTAAGCAAGATTTGAACTGAAAGGCACCATAAAGACCATCTAGTACTTGAATGCTTAAAACAGGTTTTAGGTCCTTGCAAATCGATATTCTAAGGCTTTTTCTTCTAGGCAGGATTCTCAGATCCCCCTTGTTTGTAGGATTTTAAATATGAAATTTCACCCAAATGAAAACAATGTCTACACAAGAATGAGTCAGGTTTAAAGCTGGTTGATTTACTGAACCTTCCCCTACAGAATTAAAGTACATTCTCACACCTTAAAGTTAAAATCTTTTCTCCTCCCATAGGATATCAGCTTTTAGAAGTATTTGCAAATTGTCTCATTTGGGAGGACAGTGGAAAAATCCTGGAGAACAAAATAAAGAGGCAAAGGTTCAACTTTCATATAGGAAGTTGGATTCTAATTCTTTTCTGTCTACCAGATTTTCACAGTTGATGCTGCAGACTAGTTGGCAATGTGTCATTTGAGTTCATATGGTCTTACTTTTTCTCCTTTCACAAGGAAGATAGGAACTACAACATATAAAGTCAGTAACACCTTGGATACTGCTAATTTAAGGTGCTTTGAAGGTTTTAAGATGAACTAGGTATTTCAAAACTTTTGAAGGTTTTTGCTGTAGAATTTTCTAGTGTCTTCAAATATTATATAATGGAAACTCTATTTTTGTATTTAGTTACATAGCATGCACATGTAATTCTATAGGTAGTCTCTTACAGACTTTTATCGTCTTAGAATGTGTGATTGAAGGATTGCTTTATCAAGCTTAGTACTGGCTTTTGTTATACATTGATTCTCTTTTAGTAAATCTTTCTCATTTACATGTTCTTGTATGTCTCTGCATAAAGAGATATGTACGGGAATGCAATAAAGAACAATTTCAGTAACTCTGGATGCAGGTTTTTTTTTTTTTTAAATACTACCAGTAGTTCAACGACCTATAAGTTTGTAAGATAAATGAATTTAGTCTTGTCATTTCAGCCTTTAGTACTCATTGATTTCTGTGGTGTTTTCTGTAGTTTCCCTATTTTCTGTGAAATGTGCTGTTGGCGTGGCTCATCTTCTTGATCCTGGCTCTCTGCCCACAGTAATATAATGGGTTCATGTGTTAAATATCTTATGTTCATCTGTCCAGTTAATAACTCCTGGAACCCATTTAAAATTCATGTTTCTAGAAAAGGCCTATAAGGATGTACTTCAGTGCCAGGAATTCCTATTTGACTCAGGAAATATTTTTGGCCTTGACCTTGAGAGGAACTGTTACCACATTTAAGACCAGTCTGGCTTTGGTTCTCTGGAGACTTATGGGTAGAGGAATGTGTTGACTAGTATTTAGGATTGGTTTGACAGTAGCTGTCTTGTCCTGCCTTGTCCTATTCAGAATCCTTTAGGAGTAGTGACCTGGCTCTTTACCAGCACCACAGAAAGTTGATGGAAACTATCTAGGTTTTCTGAGATGGATACTAGATTAAGACAGCTAATTATTTGATGTCCATATGCCTCTGTCCTCATTTGTTTGGGATATTTCATAATAACAAATTTGTGTTAAGACATGCTAAAAGTCGGGGCTTAATTGCAAAATCTGGTTGAGAGGTCCAGGGTCAGGTCTGGAAATCTCTGACTCCTTTTTGAAGCTACTAGAAGTATTCAGTTAAAGAGAGCTTGGGGAGGTTTATCAGGTAAACAAATACAGACTTTACAAACATAGGGATGGATTAATTTTCTATTATTATTTAGTATATGTTTTGCTAACAGATTCTTGTTTGTGGTGTGATTACAAGTAAATCTAGTGGTTGGAAAATCATTGATATATTGAAGTGCCATAACAAAAAGCCTAGTAGAGGTTGTCATTTTTATATGAATAATATCACCTCCACACGAATCATTTTATTACTGTACACTGGTGCATAATCAAACAAGGGAGACCTCCTGTCTTTCAGAATTATGTCTTTTTATTTTTAGGTTGGTATCCAATTGAAAGTGTTTTTTAGTTTTTAAAATGTAAAGTCTTGACAACAAATTATCATGTGTGAGTTGTAAAGCAGTATAAAATTGTGATGCCATCTTTTTATCTTGTAAATAACAGTTGTTTTATAGATATGTGCATCTTTCTAAAAACAAGTTTATAGTATCATCTTAAAAATGAGAGCTTACCATGTACCATTTATGTGTACATTTACATATATGCCCATACATTTCTTTTGTTCTGTGGTGAATTTAAAGAAATCTCTAATTAAAGTTTTTTTGTAATGGGATGTGAATTAAATTGTGTGTGTGTTTTCCCTTTCTGCCTTATCTCTTAAATTACAGTTGGGGAAATCTGATATAAAAATTGAGAGTTAACCAGGAGTAATATTCCATGCCTTTAATCCCAGCACTTAGGGAGACAAAGGCAGAGGGACCTCTATGAGTTCTGGGCCAGCCTGGTTGACATAGTAAGCTCCAGGCAGCCAGGGCTATGAAGTGAGACCTTGCCTCAAAAAAACAACACAACAACAACAACAACAACAAAAAAATCAAGGGCCATCTAGCATCATAAAAAGTAGGTAGAAAGGGTAGCTAGAAAGTAGTCCAGTTTAAACTAGGAAGCAGTGTTAGAAAAATTCTTTGCTATTATGTATTCATTTTCAAAAGTGTCTTAAGACAGAACCAAGTACAGCATATTTTAGAAACTGTTACAGCAATGACTGTCATTTATCTGTATGTGATCTTTGAGAACTCAGTCTGAAAGAGATAGAACCAAAAAGAAAAGGGGTTATCATGTGGAAAATCCAGTGGTGATTTCATGCTCAGTAATTCAGTCATACAGCCTCTTTTAAATTCTTACTTTAGAGGTAGATTTTCTGCTATGTTTCACAAACATATCATCAGATGATGCTAGCCCAAATAAGAAATGGATTGAAATAATTTAATTTTGTTTTCATGCTAATATAAAAATGTATAAATATAGAAAAGGGAAAGCATTGCAACTTGGCATAAGATAATATTCTAATTGTGACAGAGATGTTCTTTGTTTTCTAACCTGTTCATATAATGTTGGTTACTAACAAGATTACATTTCACTAATGTCACATATCATCTCTATTAGAAAACAGCATTTTTATCTTCTCCAAAACTTAACCAAGATTACCCTGGACTTTGGGATAAATCCAGATTAGGACTGTGGTTCCTGGCAGTTAAGCTGTGTGTGATGCAGCTGTGTTCAGTCAGTTACTTGGTGTCTGGAAAACTGTGTGGGGTTGGAGTTGAGCTCCTGATACTAAGCTTTTGGTAAGGACCTGATGACCCTCCTGCCCCCCCCCCCCCCCATAGATATCCTTTCTGTTAATGGAAAACCAGGAATAGGAATGGTGGGAAATTTTGGAGCCCTTCTATTGTCATAACTTTTTATATCTAGTGACCTTTACAGAGAATGTTACTTGTTGCTCTAGTGTGGAGCACTGAAAGTATTAACAGGAAGAACAGAGCTGTTGTGTCCATGGAAGGGTCATCCTCAAGGAATGAAAGTGCTGGCAGGAAACAGAAAAAATTTGCTAGGAATTTAGCTGTACTACCTTCTTTTCTTCTAGTTAGAAAAATTCGGTCACTTTACGGTAGGACTATTTCCTGTCCAGAATATTCTGGATTTGAAGAAAATAAAATATAGACAAGACTGTAGTCATCCTTTTCTACCACGATAGCAGTCTTTTTCTGTTCTTATTGCGTGGTTTGTTTCACTTTGCTGTTGGTGCTTATGATTGAACAAAAAGCTGATTGATTTTAATTCCAGCCTTAGCATCTAAACTAGGAACCAAGCTGTTTGCCAAATAAAATTGAG